ACGGGTTAACGGATTGAGATTAACCGTCCCTCCCTCCGTTCTCCTACCGTGTCACGTGTAAGCCTACGGGAGGGCCCTCCCTCCGAGCCAAAGGCGAAGCAGCGACTTGCCTTCCCGGCCGTCGGCGGTAGCTTCCGGTTCCGGGGCAGTCGGCCGGAAGTGAAACCCCCCGCGTTTCCCCGGCGACGCGGCCTACCCTTACCCCTCGACGCCCAAGCCCGGAGTCTCCTGCACCCCCCCCCCCCCCACCCGGGGCGCCGCGTCGAGGGATTCCGGCCAAAATATTTAAAACAAAAAACAAAACTTCTGGCGAATCGACCGGAGCCTCCGAATCCGGGGCGTCTGGAAGTTGTTCCGGAGAATCTGGGAGTCGGCGGCCGAGGCATCGAAGCGGCGAATCTCCCCCGGAGAGTCGGTGGGAATCCGGGAGCGGCGCTGGAAAGGTCAGCAGGCCCAAGCGGGAAATGCGCGGGGCAGCCCCGTCCATTACCACCACCACCGGGAGGGAGTCCCGCAGCGCCGGCGGGAGCGACGTGCGCGGGGGGAGGCCCGGTGAGGGAGCCCGGGGCCCCGGCCCCGCCAATCCCCTCCTCCCCCGGGGGACCCAGCAGGGGTTCAGGCCGGGAAGCTGCTGGCGGGATGCCTCCCCTCCCACCGAAGGGATCCGTACGACAGCGGCGCATTCCCGGGGCCTGGGCTGGGATGGTCACCACGCGATGGTGGGGAGGGGCGGCGGGGACCGTTGAGATGGAAGCAGAAGTGCACAGGAGGATCCCAGGACGGGAAAGCAGCGGGCAGCCTGAAGGCAGAGACCAGGCGCTGTCCTCGGATACCCTCTTCCAGCTGGGAGTCAGGGAGCAGGAGCTGGAGGTTCATATCTGTAACAGAAAAAAACACACACACACACACACACCAGGTTTTCAGGAATGATAGCAGCTCGGCCCCAGAACGAGAGAGGCACAGCAACCGTTTCATTCTAACCTGCCCCATCAGGATCTGAGATAACAAGGTGTGGAGCTACATGAACACAGCAGGCCAAGCAGCATCATAAGTAGCCTTCCTGCTCCTCTGATGCTGCTGGGCCTGCTGTGTTCATCCAGCTCCACACCTTGTTATCTCAGATTCTCCAGCATCTGCAGTTCCTGCTATCTCCGAAACAATTTTAACCACCACTCCCCCCCCCAGTCAGGATCGCACATTGCTGCTGTCCAAGCACAGTACTCCCAGACAGGGAGATCTGTGCCTCCAGGCCGACTGATGCGAGGGTCAGGGGACAACACGGGGGCTACGAGTCTGTCAGAATTGGCCGACTCGCTCTGTCACACACATTGTGACCCGTTAAAGATGACAAAGACCTTGGGCCTCCAACAGCCATCCAATTTGGTTCTCAGAGATCTGGGGCTGTGAGTTAGATACAGCCTTCGGCTCAATATCAGCTCGGGAGTGTCTCTGTTCTCTGCAGTGAAGGAAAACACTGTGACAGAGTGAGTCAGTGTGTGACAGTGTGTGCTACGGTCAAAACACAAGGAGCCCTGCTGTTTGTCGAACATGTGTACTGCGTGGAACAGGATCTCCGTACGGAGAGAGTAGACGAGGCTGGGTAGAGGAATTGTTACTTACAGACCCATTCCTGTCGGAGCATGTGCATTCTGTACCCTCGGGAATTTGAAGTTGGTCATTTCTGAGAACTTTGGGCTGCAAAACAGAAAGGGAGAGGGCTGAGTGACAAAGTGTGAGGAGGAGGAGGGAGGGCGGGGAATGGAGGGGGATGAAAAAGAGGGGAGTTGAAGTCTGTAGACGCTGAAGGTGGTCAGAAGCAGGGGAGGAGTTGGGAGCATGATGAACCGAGATGGAGCAGAGAGAGAAAACAATGGGGTGTGGTGAATGGGGAAAACGAGAGAAGGACGGATGGGCAGGGTGATGAGTAGAAAGGAGGGCTCAGGGAGACGCTGAGCCAATCTGACAAGTACTGGTACCTCTGCCCATTCCACGCACAACTCAGCGTGGGTCCATCTTGTGAAATCCAGCACATCAATGCTGGAAGAGGAAGGCAAGGTTACAGATCTCGGTCGGCAGACGCACTAAAGCAGGAACAGACTGGGACACACTGGTGCAGAGAGAGAGAGATAAAATGCGCCATTCCTGCAATCTGGAAGCCACACATGTGATGGAGAATCCTCGTGAAGAATTAGTTACATGGAAAAAAAATGGCATTTTTTAATCTACATTGGGGTTTGAGATATCGCACTGTTGAAGACAACTTCAGAAACCTTTTTGCCTTCACTGTTAGAGTTCACTTTTTTTAATTTGTAAGTCGCGGATCAAAAAGCTAATGGTGGATACACCCTTCAAAAGTGAGTAACTTGCCACTCATTTACACAGCTGCTTGCTTGAGCGGTCTTTGAAGTGTAGCGTGCAGACAAGCTGGAATTGAAGGGTGTCTGTACAAATGGGGCTCCATTTGGCAACAGGTAGCCGTTTGCTCAGTGGAATTGTGACCAGTTAAAGATGACAAAGACCTTGGGCCTCCAACAAATTATCTAATTGGTTCTCAGAGGTCTGGGGCTGTGAGTTAGATACAGCCTTCGGCTCACCACCAGATCAGGAGTGTCTCTGTTCTCTGCAGTAAAAAACAACACTTGAAGCCTTTTTTTAAAAAAAAAACGTTTATCTCTCCTTGACCAGTTGCTGTAAGGTGTGACTTTTAATTAGATTCGGAAACAGAACATTCAGTACAATCAGTCCATGCCGACCATGTTCCCAAACTAAACTAGTCCCACCTGCCTGCTCCTGGCCCGTACTTCTCCAAACCTTTCCTATTCTTGTACTTATCCAAATATCTTTTAAAAGTTGTAACTGTACTCACAACCACCACTTCCTCTGGATGTTCATTCCACACACAAACCGCTCTCTGTATAAAAAAGTTGCCCCTCATGTCTTTTTTTAAAACTTTCTTACCTCACCAAATGTGTCCCCTTGTCTGGAAATCCCCCACTCTAGGGATAGGACACCTGCCATTCACCTTATCTATACCCCTCATGATTTTATAAACCTCAATAAGGTCACCTCTCAACCTCCTACACTCCAGTGAAAAAAGTCCCAGCCTCTACCTGTAACTCAAACCCTCCATTCCTGGCAACATCCTGGTAAATCTCTTCTGAACCCTCCCCAGCTTAATAATGTCCTTCCTATAATAGGGCGACCAGAACTGGACACAGTACTCCAGAAGGGGCCCCACCAACGTCCTGTACAACCTCATCACGACATCCTAACTAAAAGGTCTGAGCAATGATAAGTCAGAGACCTTTTCTATGGAAACCAGCTACCCTGTGCCTCTTACAGACCGATGGCAGCATCTGGAGAAGGATGACTGAGAAGCAATGTTCTGACCTGCACAGGAACCATCTCAGTGAGCCTTGTGAACTGGATCCAATGAAGTGCTTTCCCATTCTTCCCCTCCATTCAGAACACCCGTGTTTTTTCCCCCTTTTCCTCTCTGTGTGTTGTAAGTGTGAGTTAATGCATCATAACTGCATCATACCTGGGGGTAGAGATGAATTACTTGTAAAAAATTGTGACTTTTTTTTTGATCAGAATAACCTGCTCTCTGCTTCTGATCGACCTGGTTCAGGGAGGTGAATCGGGGATTTTTATGTACTTTATCAAATCTTTAACGACGGGTCCGGAAATGGCAAGGCTTGATTTCCAGTGCGTAGCCTTGTGAGATGTGACACAGCTCCCCGATTTGCTCTGGAAAATGGCGCAGGACGAGGTGCGGTCTCCATGGAATGCCGGCAGAGGACCGAAGTGGAGAAGGGAGGCAGGATTGCTGTGTAATGATAATGTTTGAGGGAGACAGAGACAGAGAGAGAGAGAGAGCACGGCCACGTTTGGGGAGAAAGTACGGAGGTCAAATGCCAGCTCACCCAATGCCCCCTCCCTCCTCCTTGCCAACAGAGGGCACTGCTCACCTGGCTGCTATGTTCTTGACTGGGCGGTAGTGCTTGGCAGTCTTCACCGCAAAGATGATACTTGGGATGAGGAACAGGGTGCACCAGCCCAGACAAAACCAAAAGGCATTCTGTGGGAGCAGGAACATGGTCATGGTGATGCCAGCTGGAGACGGTTGACTGCCACCGGCTTCGGTTACGCCAGCCACCCCGGTCAAGAGTTACTTAAAAGATATTTCCCCACGCGTCTCGCTTTTCCTCGGCTTCCCTCACCATTTCACCCCGCCCCCCACCCCCGGCCCCACCATCATCTGTTTTAGGGAGTCAGTGATGTAAAGCCGAATGTGGTGCCAGTCAAGTGGGGGCTGCTTTGTCCCTGGATGGTGTCGAGCTTCTCGAGTGTTGTTGGAGCTGCCCCCATCCGGGGCAAGTGGGGAGTATCCCATCACGCTCCTGACTTGTGCCTTGTCGATGGTGGGACAGGCTTTTGTGGGGGAGGAGTCAGGAGGGGAGTTACTCGCTGCAGGATTCCCAGCCTCTGATCTGCTCTTGTAGTCACTGTGTTTATATGGGGCGAGTCCAGTTCAGTTTGTGGTCAATGGTAACCCTCAGGATGTTGATTGGGGGGGTGGGAATTCGGTGATGGTAACACCATTGAATGTCGAGGGGGCAATGATTACATTCTCTCTTGTTGGAAATGGTCATAGCCTGGTGCAAGTGCGGCACCAAATATCACTGGGGTGTGGAGGGGAAGGGGGTCTCTAACCTCTGCATACAGAACCTGCGGGTAGGATCCCATCCCCGGATGGCCAAGAAGGTCCTCAGGAGATTCCGAAAGTTGGGACCTAAAGGCTGTGCCTCTCAACGCAATTCCTGCATTGCCCACTTACCCAAGGATCGGTGACATAGTCGCAGGAGAGGATGCGGGCATTATCGAGAAGGATAATGGCCGGTTGGCAAGACAGCAGGTCATTGATAATCTGTGGAAAAAGAGGAAAAACTGGCAGGAAGTGGTTGTCAGAATGATACCCAAAGTTCATCGCTTGAACCGCGAACCACCAGGCCCAACCCTTATAGACGTTGTCCAAGTCAGGGAGGGCAGGTCATTCTCTGCACAGTGGTACAATTCTCCCCACACTGGCACACTGCCACCGCTGCCGTCAGGGGCCTGGCGAGCCCCACGCTAAACGCTGAGGCAGCCAAAGACATGGCAGAGTCTCGGAATGGGTCGGAAGGGCTGTTTTCCAAACCGTATGGGGGTATGGTTGGAGGAGTTGGGGGGGTAGATGATTACTGAATGCAGGGGTGGTAGCCTGAAGCCACAGTTGCGCCTTCAGCCCCTCAAACTGGCAGGATGGCGCAGTGAGTGCATGAAATGATCCCACCCTCGCGGCTGGAAGATCACAGGGTATGTTGGTCAAAATGGCATCACCAATACTCACTGTGTCCTGGACCCAGTTTAGATACTGGCGGAAGTATTCCACCTGCTTATTGATGAGGCACTGAGTAACCTGAAATCACAGAGAGCTGGTCATTAACAAATACGAGCACCCTGCTACTTCCTACACGCATCCTTTCACCCCATTTCTCATGCCCCTCATCCCACCATGAAGTCCCTCCTGCTGATAAAAATCCCTCTCCTCCAAAGTACTTTTTGTGTTTATTCGCGGGGTGTGGCTGGCTGGGCCCAGCATTTATTGCCCTGTTTTCCCCCCACCTTGAGAAGGTGGGGGTGAGCCGCTGCAGTCTGTGTGGTGTAGGGACCCCCACACAGTGCCCTCAGGGAGGGAGTTCCAGGATTCTGACCCAGCGACACTGAGGGAACGGTCGATATATTTCCAAGTCGGGGACAGTGAGGGGCTCGGAGGGTGAACTTGCAGGGGACGGTGTTCCCATGTACCTGCTGCCCCTTGTCCTTCTGGATGGAAGTGGGTCGTGGGTTTGGAAGGTGCTGTCTGAGGGGCCTCGGTGAGTTGCTGCAGTGCATCTTGTAGATGGTACACACTGCTGTTACTGAGCGTCGGTGGTGGGGGGGGAGTGGGATGTTTGTGGATGTGGGGCCAATCGAGCGGGGGGCTGCTTTGTCCCTGGATGGTGTCGAGCTTCTCGAGTGTTGTTGGAGCTGCCCCCATCCGGGGCAAGTGGGGAGTATTCCATCATACACCTGACTTGTGCCTTGTCAATGGTGGGACAGGCTTTGGGTGGGGGGGTTGTGGTAGAGTCAGGAGGGGAGTTACTCGCTGCAGGATTCCCAGCCTCTGACCTGCTCTTGTAGCCGCTGTGTTTATGTGGGGCTGGTCCTGTTCAGTTTGTGGTCAACGGTAGCCCCCAGGATGTTGATAGTGAGGGGGGCGGTATTCAGTGATGGGAACACCATTGAATGTCAAGGAGGAGATGGTTAGATTCTGTCTTATTGGAGATGGTCATTGTGGTGTAAATATCAAGCATCACCAATTAACCAAGCCTGGATATTGTCTGGGGTTGTGCTACAATCTCACTGTCTTGTGTCTTGTGGCCTTCTCTCTCTTTCCCTGTCTATATATCTCTTTCTCCAATAAGCCCTCCACAGCTCTCTCTGCCACCTTGGCTACACCAGCTCACATCATTATGAAGCCCTGTCCGTCTCTGTCTCTCAACTTGGTCTTCAGTTGATCTGCATCAAAACTTACGCTTCTGATGACTGCATGGGTGGTGTTCTGAATGCTGGATTCCGCTTCCTCGACGTTATTGATGGTCTGCTGTACCTTACCCTGAAATGCAAAGCATGCTGTGCCCGTTATCAAGAAAGCATTCACTTTATGCCCTGGCTGGGCAGCCCCGCACCATATCCCTGGCAGCTAAAGAGATCTCGCCTCAGAAGACGAGATCAATATAGTCCCTTAACCTGGAACAACCCCTTTCACGATTCCCATTCCCTTGAAAGTGAATTTGCGCGTCTGTCCGATGTGGCCAGGCCAGCGTTTGAGGCCCATCCTTCTCCCTTGAACCGAAAGGGCTGTTTTGGCGTGAGCATGCTAGAGTCACCTGTAGGCCCCAGGCCGGGTAAAGGCAGTAGAATTTACCCCCCCCCCCTCCCCCCCTCCCACCACCTCCGGGAAGTCCAAGTACGTCAAATTTGGGCTTACTCACTGAATTCCGGTTGCCCCCATCGCGGTGGGATTTGTACCCGTGGAGGTTTAGAGCAAGGACCAGCCTCACCACCACCACCACACTACCAGCTCCCTGAAACGGACCTCTAGATAACGGGCAGTCTGGCATCTAGACAGGAGCGTACCAACCGTGCGGGGCTGGACGGATGGGGAGGGGGGGGGGGAATTCCTTCAGGAGAAAGGAACGATCATCCCCCCGCCAACATTTAATGAGAGCATGAGTGCGAAAGGGGGAAATCGGGTGAGGACTCAGAGCTGGTTGTCAACACGTGAAGGAAGGACGTACCTGTACTGTTGGAGCAAACGATGATAAGTATTGGAAGCTTGTGTTCAACTGGGCCTAAAACAGAAACAAGCCAATCAGTCAGGAGTGGGCATTGTCTCCAGGCAAAGGGATGCCAAAGTTATCTTCCACAAAATACCTTCTTGCTCCCTGTCCTTTTTCTGCCTTATGTTCTGCCTCTGCTTAACAGTTGCGAGGACCTTTCCTACGCATTCCTGCATGTTGCCTCTGGCTGTTATTGGCCAACCTCCACACGGTCTTCCTTAATCGCCACCTTACCTTTTACCTTTATCCTGCCATATTTCTCTTCACAATGTCCACTCTTTTGAAGATTATGTGTCTACTATGTTAGAAGAGATGGGCAGAGCCCCTATCCACCACTTAACCCTCAGTCAATATACCATCATCTGCTCTAGATTCCAGCAGAGAAGGGGGCCAGTTACTGATGATCAACAGTTAACAGCCAGGCTTTGTTTAAATATGTGTTAATACACAGGTTACAGTTCTTTGCACACACACCGCACCTGTTTCAACTCAACAAATAAGTCACTGCATGTTTATTTCTCAGGGCTATTCCTTGACCAATCAGTGTCGAGCTGCCCTCTTTAAAATTTAAACAAAAGCCTGGCAGTTAACTGTCAAACATCATTTACTGGTGCATTCTCCATCAAAATGCCTCAACCATTCTTGTACGGTACAAATCTTAGCTTCCCCCTCGACTGCCATTCTTGCAAAGTGTCCTGATGTGTGCAAGAGAGAACAATTCAATAAAATGTGTCTTTTGTCAGCACTGCTGTCTAAAAGTAGCCCGAGGGACTAAATGTTTTCACTAGTGCAAACGGTAACACTTGTGTCGTTCTATTCAGAGACCAAGGCAGCATACCATCGTCGGCATTGGAACGACATTGTCATCACCAATGGCCAAATATTCACCACTCACCAGATGCCCTTGCATTGTGCTCACTGTCGTGTTCTGTATTTCCCGGAGCTTCATAGCCTGCCGTGATAAATTGCTTTTGATTTCAGGGTCAGACTGTGGGGTGGCGAAGGTGGAAGGGGAGAAACATCAAAAGCGAAGTTAGTTATCAGGTCTCGCACCTTTTAGAAATTGTTGGCCACCTTTAACCAGGGTTGGCTGTCAGTAATGGTTGGCCACCACTAACAAAAGCCGGCTGGCATCAGTAATGGTTGGCCACCATCAATATTAACATTCCACAATTAATGATGGCTGTCCATCATTAACAGTGGTTGGCCACCATTCAAATTAACTCTCCACAGTTAATGATCACTATCTGCCATTAACAATGGTTGGCCACTACTCATATTAACTCTCCACAATTAATGATGGCTATCCATGATTAACAATGGTTGGCCACCATTCATTATTAACTCTCAACAGCTAACGATCGCTATCCACCACTAACAGTGGTTGGCCACTATTCATATTAACTCTGTTAATAATGGCTATCCACCATTAACAATGGTTGGCCACCATCTGTATTAACTCACCACAGTTAATGATGGCTATCCACAGTTACTGATGGCTAGCCACCATTCATATTAACTCTCCACAATTAACGATGGCTATCCACCAGTAACAGTGGTTGGCCACCATTTGTAATTGTTGGCCACTATTAACAGTGATTGTCTGCCAGTAGCCATCGTAGGCCACTTTTAGTTATAGTTGGCCATCCACTATATGGTTATGGTTATCCACAATTAACAATAGCTGACAAGTATGAACAGTAGTTGGCCACTTTTAGCCCAATATTTGGGTGATATTAGCAAAAATGGTCACCTCTCGCCCGCATCGTTTCCAACCCCATGAGTGAGTCTGATTTGAATATTTCCACAATAACACGAAGTGTCCATCCGAGGATTGACCAGCAAAGAGGCCGGTGTGTTTATGGCCCCTCTGGAACGTCCAGAGGGTGAGTTACAGGAGGTGGGTGGTGGATGACCGCAGCGTGTTGTCTCACTCACCTGTGTGGATTCCAGGGTTTCAAGGGTGCTGGCCAGGTCGAGGAGACTACCTTTCACAGTCGGTTTACTGATCTGTCAGGAAACAGGCAACACAGACAGAATGTGTGGGATCAGAGCCAAAACATGCGACACTGGATGATACGCCAGACTGAAATGAGGATCCCACATTTCCATGTTCCCTCACCCCCTCAAAAACACGTTCCCGCCATCCCCCCCCTCCGATCATCTGAAGGACGAACCCCCCCCCCCCCCCCCCAAGGGACGATTTCCAAATCACTCTTCCCTCTGATTTCAAATTTGCCTTCCCCTCCCCCTACCATCACCCCCCGACCAATCAGAGGTGAAGGGGGAGTGAGATAACTGTGGCCCTTCCCATAAACCCCCTGTTCACATACATGTGAACACACACCCTCTCTTTCTCTCACACGCACGCACACGTACACTCTCACACAACCACACGCACACACACACAGTGGTATCCATGGCAACACCTCAAGCGGTCAACATGCTTGCCAACCAATTGGCATCATTTCGCCCACTTCCGCCAGCCCCCCCCAACCCGGAGTGTAAACTGCTGTTCCCCTTTGATGTTCGGTCATTCTTGCATGCGGTCCTGATGCAGTCATGAGGAAAATGTTGGCAGGGTGTCCCTCTCTCTCTGGCTCTCAGCAGAGAGAGAGCCCTTGTAGGCCTTGGGTGTGGAACGGGGAAGTGGATGTCGTGCTTCCAGAGAGTGTAAGGGGCTGAATGGCCACTTTGTGCGCTGTGCCAATGATGGCGACACACTTGGCCATATCTCAGCAGAGGTCCTCACTCGCCCCTCCCTCCCCCCAAACCCACCACTGCCCATTCTGATGCGCACAGTACCTGCTGAATGAGCTCTGTGTAGTTGAGGTCATTAATTCCGCTGTTGGCAAACATCAAGAGTTTTAGCCTTCCTGCCTCTCCCAGTAGAACGAGGCCACCCAGATCCACGTTCAGTCGCTCCGCGCTCTGTTTGAACACATCTGTGTACTGAAGCAGGGAGATTTGCTGCTTAATTCCGTGAAACCTCAGGCCCTTCCACCTCCGGCCCCCAGACTATCCCCTCGCTGCTCCTCCGGTCACCTGAGTCGCCTGCCGACTCTCACAGTGGTGCAAACGGCTCCCCCGCCCACCCCCCATTCCTCTCTTTCAGCCTCAAGGCCTGAGTGGCATAGAGATACGTACGGCGCTGAGGTTGAGTGAATCCTTCAGCTCCATCCTCTGGCTCTGAGGAAGCAGGTCGAAGATTGAGGCACCCTCCCGACAGCGACTGGAGGCGCAAAACAAAAAAAGAGATAAGAAGCCAGGATTAATGGCCAGGAGCGTCGCCGGGGTGGGAGGGTGGGTGGAAACCCGGATTCGTATCCCACCGCCGAATCTGGGATCGGCAGCTAGTCGTCAGTGATAGGTGACCGTAAAAGCCAGATGCCCCCACACCCCCTGCCAATGATGCCCTCTGAGGGGGTTACGCATCCTACCATCTTGCAACACTCCGGGCCTACATGAGACTCCAGATCACCACGGAGACTCGGAAATGGACTACA